TACGGACTTTAGGAACATTAGGAACATTAGGGCCATTAGAGCCATTACCGTCATTAGGGCCATTAGGAACATTAGGGACATTAGGGACATTACGGCCATTAGTGTCATTACGGACATTACGGACATTAGGGACATTAGGAACATTAGGGCCGTTAGGGACATTAGGGACATTAGTGCCATTAGAGCCATTACCGTCATAAGGGCCATTAGAGCCATTAGAGCCATTGCCGTCATTAGGGCCATTAGGAACATCAGGCACATTAGGGACATTAGGGACATTAGGGCGACTAGAGCCATTACCGTCATTAGGGCCATTAGGAACATTAGGGACATTAGGGACATTACGGCCATTAGTGCCATTACGGACATTACGGACATTACAGACATTAGGGACATTAGGAACATTAGGGCCATTAGGGACATTAGGGACATTAGGGCTTTAGGGACATTAGGGCTTTAGGGCCTTTAGGGCCATCAAGGCCATTACGGACATTACGGACATTACGGGCATTACGGCCAAATAGCGCCATTGAAAATCTCTTACACACGTGCTTTCAGTAAAATCAGCTTCACGGAATGTAGTACATTACATCGTATCATCACAGTTGCCTTCCGGATCTTCACACCGCGCACTCCTCATCCTTATTTTCTTTAGTTTTGTCTTTGTGTTCGAACTTGGTCTACTAAGTTTCTATTTCAACTCATAACTCTGATATGTATTCGAATCATAACGAGTGTGATCTAAATATGCTCCGTTGCATGAGTCAATTATTATTGTGCAAGCTTTATTCCTTTCTCATTGAATTAAAATTTGATGATTATTTCTTTCAATTAGATTTCATCGTTTTCTCATTATAGTCAGACAATAGTTGATTAAACATTCCTTGATTAAATCATCACTCGAGCTATAAACGTCGTATTTCCATGACTGACTAATGTATTATGTCATAAAATACGACACCTAAAGTGATGAAATAAAAATAATTGATCAATCCGAGTATCAAACGAAAGGATGTTGTTTTCGTCACGAGATTATCTCAGTCGTTCCTGTCTTGGCTGTTTTTCCTCGCGGACAAGAGACTGAGATTTCATTGTCGAACGACGTTTTTCGAAGATTTGGGGTGACATGTACCATATGCCACTGCGTGATTGGTTCTATTCATAGAAGAGTCCAGTGACACATATACACGGAGCTCTTGTGTGGTACGAAGACGGATTGTCGTTTGCAATGCTAGCCAATTGTTACAGTCATCTGTTTCTGGCAGTGGTGCTGACTTCTAGTTGTCTCGTGCGGTCGCGAAGCCCCATGTTCGTGGTGTATCACGTGTTTGGTATGCGAAGTTTTCATCTAAGACCCCAACAGTCAAAGCCCTACAATGCCGTTACGACCAAATTTCACTTTGTCCGGACTAGGCATCAGAAGTTCAGGTTACAGTCCCGGATAACGGTAACGTTTCCGTTCCCAGCTACCTAGGCAACCGTAACTTATCCGTTCCAAGTTACCTGAGTAATGATTACCGTACGGTTTCCAGTTACCTGGCAATAGTTACGGGTGTTACCAGTTAAACAGAAACGCAGCAACGGAAGTATAAGTGCCTCTCATCATCAAACCCAAAGCATTAGGTATTGACGCCGCACTATCGCTGATTGCGTCCCATCGAACAACATCCAACATTGCGGAAAGTGCTCGGGTCCTCCTTGAGGACCACAAAGTAGCTCCCAGTCATTTGACTTTACGACGACAAGATGCCAGCGAATAGTAAGACTTGAGAGACCAAGGATGCTTACAATACTACCAATTGTTGCGTTAAGGGCACTGGACAAGACTTGCTCTAGTTCGTCCACGGATGCGGTGCAACTCTGGCACCCGTTCCGCCAAGGATAACCTCGTTCCCGGCAATTGAATCTGACACCATAACACATGGGCACAAAAAATTTGAAAAGGTCGGGCCCATGTTACTGCACGACATTAGCAATGTTTGGTCCAAGGACACCCGCACTGTTCGCAATTCAAGCTGAGGACAAAAGGCTTGGGGGAAAGATTGACATTGGTTGGACCCACGGGACCACACAACACCAACAGCGCAATAATTCCAGCCGCGATTCACCAAGAAACTTCATCCAACGCTCCTATCCTTAGTTGAAGTGCATCTCGATGAGCACTATCTAATGCTACAATTAGATTTTCAATACCTCAACAGAAAGCCCGAAAAATTCAAAAAAGCTGATATCTCACTGCACAAGTCCTGAACACTATAAAATTATAGTTAGCAGCGATTTCACTAGAAGCCCGGTCTAATGTTCCTACTCTTAGTTCAAGTACATCCCGATGAGCTCTGTCTAATGGTATAAGTAGATTGTCTATGTCTGAAATTGAGGCTCCAGAAAGCTCAAAACACCACATTTTTCATTCCATCCATACAAGAATAACAGCGGCGATTCGACTAGAAAGCTAGTTCAACGTTCCTATTCTTGGTCCAAGTAGATCTCAATAAGCACTATCTGATGGAATAATTGGATTATCAATATCTCAAAAGGAAGCCCAAAAAATCACAAAATACTCATATATCATTGTACCAAACTTGGACACCACAAAAGTAAAATCAGCAGCAATTCGCCTACGAACATCTTCCAACGATCCTATTCACCGTCCAAGTGTAAATCGATGAGCTCTATCTACCAGTATAATTGGCTTGTTCATAACTGAAGCTGAAGCGTCAGAAAGCTCAAAAAGTTCCTGCTTTTCCTTCAATCCGTACAATGAATACACCGGCGATTCCGCTAGGAGCACAACCCAATGATCATATTCTTGGTGCAAGCAGATCCCGACAAGCACTAATTAATGGTTTAACTAGATTTATAATACCTCAACAGAAAGCCCAAACAATACAAAAATCCTCATATCTGATTGTACCTAACTTGAAGACCACAAAAGTATAAGTAGCAGCGATTCGCCTACGAGCATCGTCCAACGTTCCTTTTCTTAGTCGAAGTAGATCTCGATGAGCTCTATCTATCGGTATAATTAGATTTTCAATACCTCAACGGAAACCCCAAAAAATCCGAAAATACTCATATCAGATTGTACCAAACTTCAAGGTCATAAAAGTAAAAGTAGCAGCCATTAGCCTAGGAACTTAGTCTAAAGTTGCT